GTTATGCTGCTCCATTCCCCTAGTTCCCTTGCCGCCTATATGTGATCCATGGGCAGCATTCCATTTACGTCAAAAATAACGTCAATCTAGTGAAAAAAACTGCATGACTCACACCATTACTGTAGGGAACTGGTCTCTGTGTAATATGATATATAACATCCTAATTTCATACAGCATTTTTCATAACAGCTGCTAAAATCATCAAATCCATTAAATTCTTTTAAAGGATCCAATTCGAAGCAGTATTGAAAATAGTCTTAAAATGCAGGTATAGAGTGGAGTCTCGCTCACTCAAAACTCCTCTGTCATTAGCTACTTCATATCTTCCGTGTATTTATCTGTCTATATTTACTGATTCACCTGAGTCTTCTCCTGTTCTATATTTCTAGCTGTATTGAGTCAGAGGTAGGCTATTTCAGAGACTGGAGGGTCTGAAAAAAATAGATAAGAAAGCAGAAGAGGAAAAGGAAGTTTTCCACTGATGCTTATGGACAACAGAACGAGGGGCACTAGAGAAAAGAGGGAAAGAAAGAACTGAGGTCTTGGGCTGATGAAAGCAGTATGATATTATTGACTAAAATACCTGTAGAAAATGAATGACAATGAGAGAGCATGACCACCTAAGCCTTTATATCTAGCAGCACATAACTTAGAAACACTGAGCCAGTTGATTTTCCCTGCCATACTGCCATTCATAAAACTAACAGCTTTTTCTGTTTGTAAGAATTTTATTTCTTGGATATATGTAAAGCCAAAAAAAAAAAAATTCCTCAGTGTTGGGGGTTTTTGTTTCCTCTGATACTATATACTTCTGCAAGTTTGCAAAGTTAGCCCTTGACATGTATTTTTGTTTGGGAACATAAAGTGAGACCAAAAAGAGGATCCAAAGAAGGCAGAACTATGTGGAATTTACTTCCAGACTTGAGAGTGACCTTCCAGAAGGAGCATAGGCTTCTGAAGCCTATGCACTATTCAGTCTCTGCCACAGATTAACTGTGTGGTACAAGTTAGTACACAAATTGCCCTTCTTTGAGCCTCAGTTTTCTTACATGAAAAATAAGCTTAGACCAGAATCCCAAGGTTCTTTTGAGTTGCAATGTTATGATTTTTGTATTACATGTTGTAAAAAGAGTATGTGATGCTCAGTCACCCTTCTGGTTACTTCCAGCGGCACAAATCTTGTATGTTTTCCTTCCGTGTGTACACACATGTCCTCTAATATTATTAAGGGGGGACGTATTACATGCAGTGTCTTTGGTAGGTGCTTCTTGTGGACAGCATTCCTTCCAGCTTCCTTCTGATGTAAGTGCTATTAAGGAAAAAGTTTTCAACTCCATCCCATTTTTCTGGTTCTGTTAAAAAAAAAATTTAGGATGGAATGTAAATTACTGATTCATAATCCGTGAATCACTGCAATAAAGTAGCTCTGTGATATTTGCTTTCAGACCTTCAAAAATTGTTAATTGCATACAATGTGGTGTTGGCCACTTGGGTAATGGATTTAAGGCACAGCTTTTTAGATTCCAGCTAACAGCATCTTTAATAGATATAATTTCATGTGTGCACTCAAGCAGTTTGTACCTAGTCAGCTGATGTTAAAGCGGATACACCAGATTGCCATTTTTGGGTTGTCTGACCCAAGTACCAGGCAAATTACTGAATAGTAATAGAGCCAGGAGTCCGAGAGTAAGTTTTCTGCACTATTAAACCCTGATAATGAGTTGTTCTGATTTTCTCTCACTTTATTCGTTCAACCCCCATTAATGGAGTACCTATTGCAGTCCTGGATATTGGGTGCCATGCCAGGTCTTCAGGGCCAGCATTCTATTGCAAAAGAACCATGTTTACAAAAGTGGAGTGAGATTCTTCCTTGGGTCTTTTTGTCACTGAGTAGCTAAAGCTGTTATTAAACTAAACAGACAAAAAAAATTTATCATCCAGGAAATAATTTACACTATAGTTTTCAATGTGTCATCCTTTTTATTTTTATGTTCTCTAACATATACAGAAGATTAATGATAATATTTCACATGTAGCCTGTTGGAGAAGTGAGTTTCCTGGACTAGTCACATCATATATGATTTTATAACCCAAAAACACCAAACAGCAATGGCATTAAAATCTTAAAACGGGAGCTTTATCAATACTAGCTAAATCATAGTGGATAGCCTAGTCGCCTGGAAATCAAAACACTAAATAATCATGGTAGCTCATTAATTAGTTATGTAAATGAAGGCATGCTACTCAAGTTCTCTGAGCTTCAGAAGAGAAAAAAAATACTTGATTGGTATCTCACGGGGCTGTTGTAAGGAACAAATGAGACAGAGTATGTGGTATGCTTTGTATTGTAGAGCATACAATCCAAATATGAACTAGATAAGGCATCAAACGTGCTTGTACTACATACAGTGTTTCTAATTATATTATAGCTTTTATCTATGTGATGTTCCACATTTTATGTGTAAACAAGAGCTTATAAGGTTCACTTTCTTCCAATTATCACAACTAATGAACTCTTAATGGGCAGCTACAAATATAGATTTTATCAGAAAGAGGAAATTAAAGTGATCAAGGAATTATTTTTTTTCTCCCCTGACACATAAAAAGTAAAGAGACTACTAATTAGAAAATATTTAGCTGTTCTTTTTAAGTACTTGAATGATCTGAATTTTCTGAGTATTCATTCTTCATTCAGGTATAGGAAATGAAAAGTCATACCTTCTGTAAATATTATCATTCAATGGCTGTATTTACTGTGCAAAATGTAGTTAATTTTATTTGTTAGAGACATATACTAAGTGCTAGATTTCATAGGTCAGAGAGGCACAAAGTGAGGTACTTCCTTCCTTTGGTTTTGTAATAGAGCGTATTTAGAGCACATCTAGAATAATGCTGTAAAAAGGAATTGCCTGGGCTAATAATGTATCAGAAGTTGTTTTATTCTGTTAATACAAGTACATAATAATTTTCTGCAACTCAATTATTTGCACTCAATTATTTTTTTTTGAGGTTTATTCCTTTTTTAATTTTTTTTACTTTTTTTTTAATTGCATTTTAGGTTTTGGGGTACATGTGAAGAACATGCAAGATTGTTGCTTAGGTACACATATGGCAGTGTGATTTGCTGCCTTCCTCCCCTTCACCTATATCTGGCATTTCTCCCCATGCTATCTCTCCACACCTCCCCACCCCCCGACCCTCCCCCATTTCCCCCCCCAACAGACCCGAGTGTGTAGTGCTCCCCTCCCTATGTCCATGTGTTCTCATTGTTCAACGCCCGCCTGTGAGTGAGAACATGCGGNGTCCATGTGTTCTCATTGTTCAACGCCCGCCTGTGAGTGAGAACATGCGGTGTTTGATTTTCTGCCCTTGTGTCAGTTTGCTGAGAATGATGGTTTCCAGGTTCATCCATGTTCCTAAAAAGGACACGAACTTATCATTTTTGATGGCTGCATAGTATTCCATGGTGTATATGTACCACATTTTCCCTGTCCAGTCTATCATCGATGGGTATTTGGGTTGGTTCCAGGTCTTTGCTATTGTAAACAGTGCTGCAGTGAACATTTGTGTGCATGTTTCCTTATAGTAGAATGATTTACAATCCTTTGGATATATACCCAGTAATGGGATTGTTGGGTCAAATGGAATTTCTATTTCTAGGTCCTTAAGGAATCGCCACGCTGTCTTCCACAATGGTTGAACTAATTTACACTCCCACCAACAGTGTAAAAGTGTTCTTATTTCTCCACATCCTCTCCAGCATCTGTCTCCAGAATTTTTAATGATTGCCTTGCACTCAATTATTAATTCCTTGAACATGACTTCAGCTAATAACTGCCACTCTAAAAGCGTAAAATAGGATTAATGACCAAACTCCTTTATTTCTAAGGAGTGAAAGGAGTAGTAGTAGCATTTCAAATAAATTCCACCAGAGAGTACTTTTCCTTAATCAATATCTAGGTATATTCATGGGTACCTCTTCTTTAAAATGTTAACTTTTGGGTTCTACTTAAAATCTGGGTAGCAAAATTAAAGGTAGTAAGAGCCAGGCTAAAGAGGACTACATTGGATTCTCTCTGTGGCCTTTACTATAAATAGTTCATTTTCTTTATGTCTCACTTTACTCTTTTTTTTTCCTCTTTTTCTTTTAGTCTTATTATTTAAAGACTTAAACATTTACCCTTCGAAAAATCAGTGTCGTTTCTGGTGGGGAGAGAAGGTATTCAGAGAGATGAGTCAGAGGCACATACAAATAACTTATATGAAGTTAGAAGTTAATGAAAGAAAAGGAAATGTTTATCCTACTCCATCCACAATACTAGTAAACTAAGTATTTATTTTAACTATTTGTTTCCTCATTTGTTACCCAGACCTTGTTTTATTTCCCCAGCTACCATAAATTTGCTGACAAGGTAAATTCTTACAGGGTTCAAAAAGGGACAGGTAGATTTTCAGAAGCTGTTTGGGGTTGAAAAAATATATATTAAAATGAAAATGGTATAGTACCTGAAGACTACTAGTAAATTTTGCTACAGTAAATTTATGATAGTTACCTTCTTTTTCCTGTAGTTGAACTGGAAACCTGACTTCTGTAGGTTTTTTAGTCCTTGGTTTCTCTCCTTGGTTTTGAGCAATCTCAACTTATGATACACCTTCCTCTTGTATCTTTGGTCATCTGACTCCCCAATATGCATACACATAAATAATCAATACAAATTAGCACTCTTTATAATTATGTTGCAGGAAGAGTGTATACTTTTTGGATGTTAGATTTTTTTTAGTGCCTTCATCATCTTTAGTGTTGGTTTCTTCCTTTGACTTTGTATATTCCTCCTAAGTCCCAGTGATTTCTTGGTTATTTCTTGGTTACAGGCTGTCCTGGTGATCCCCTGTTTCTTACCTAATGTTACTGGTTACCTTGAGATTTTATCAGTGTCTGTGGTCTCTTCATCAGTTCTTTCCAAAGGTTTCTCTCACTGATTATCTTACAATATTCTTAGACTTGAATGAAGCAGTCCCAGAGACAGAGCGCCTGGATTCAAAAGCATTAAAAACTCGAGCCCAGCTCTCCGTGAAGAACAGACGCCAGAGGCCTTCTAGGACAAGACTGTATGATAGTGTTAGTTCCACAGATGGGGAGGACAGTCTAGAGAGAAAGGTGAGCACCCCTGACCATTTTCTGATTCGTAGTGTTAGAGTGTATCATTGTTCCTCCAGCTTATTGAAGATGATTTTTCTGCAGTCAGAGTCTGTGTCCTAGTTGGAAGCAGCTAGAATAGTTCACGTCTTTGTCTACTGAATTCTTTATATTGTTGTAATTCAAGATATTTTCTCTATTCATTCAATGAACTAACCAAGAGCATTATCCATACTGTCATATTTCATGATGGTGCTTTTGATATTCAATTGTTGGTTTTACTTAGTGGGAAATAATGAATGTACAAGTAATTGTTTCTTTAGGTCTTAGGTATATGTATTAGTGATGATGTTAATACGGTGAATTGTTATGAACTATGCATTCTCATCTTTAAATCAACAAAAACAAAAACTGGTTTATATGGGAATTCACTAATAAGAGATTGGTCTTATTTCAAAGTAAGTATTGCATAGGACTGATACTCCAGTGGCATAATGTTCCTTATAATCTCTTATACCAACAGCCTTCAAACAGTTTCTATAACCACATGCATATTACCAAATTACTTCCACCTAAGGGTTTGAGAACTTCTTCTCCAGAATCAGATTCTGGTGTTCCACCCCTCACCCCAGTGGCTAGCAATGTGCCCTTCTCGTCTGACCACATAGCTGAATTTCAAGAAGAACCACTGGACCCAGAAATGGGGCCTCTCTCCTCTATGTGGGGAGACACTTCACTCTTTTCTACTTCAAAGTCTGATCATGATATAGAAGAATCTCCTTGCCACCACCAAGCCACCAACAAGAAAATATTACAAGAAAAAGGTATTGTTAATTTTTTGTCTGATTTCTTAACACTTCAGCTTGTGCTGTATAAAAATGACTTTTTCTCATAATAATAAGTCATAATCATTTGTCTTCTCATAGCTAATAATTCATATTACTTTCTTTTTATGTTATAGGATAAGAGAAACAACCCCTTCATGTATTTTAGTTTAGTTTCGTTTTTTTTCTTTTCCTACCTGGTTCAGTATATTTATCTCTTCAACTGTCTACAAGTTCACTACTAAAGGGGGTTCTTCAGGGGAGTGGGGCAGCCCAGAGTTTCAACAAACACTAACATAGTCATATAAAAAAATAGAGAGAGCAATTTTGTAGAATAGCAGCCCAGAGTTTCAGTAAACACTAACTAGTCATATAGGAAAAAAATATGAAGATCAGAGTAACACAGACATATAATTGATGCTTAATAATGTTCTTGGATGAATTGCTAATATATTTCTCCATGTAACCAGTGTAGATCTTCTAGAAGAGGGGTAATCAACCAAATGCAGTCTCCACCTGCTTTTGTAAATGAAGTTTTATGAGAGTACAGTCACACATTTTTACTTACATACTGTCTACTTTCATGCTAGAGTAGCAGAGTTATTGTGACAGAGACTGTATATCTTACAAACATAAAATGTTTACTCTCTGGCCTCTGACAGATAAAGAAAGCTTCCTCATGACTGGTCTAGAAGTATGTTTTCTTCAACATTGCTGGATAAACTCTGAAAAGGGCTTAATCATTAATTGCCATTTATCTAGAATTTTTTTAAAGTATTATAATATACCATTACTTTTGGTCTATCAAGTTACCACAAAGATTATTATATTATAGCCATATTTGGTTGCAGGCTTGAGGATAGGGCTCTGGTTACCCTAATAGGAATTGGCTGTTTTCTGAATTGTGTCAACACCACATTTACAAGTCATCATTTTTTTTTTTTCATATCTGAGGAACATCAGTAGAAACTGGGATGGAAAAGTCCCATTATAACTGGCTAAATGAGAATCAACTAACTGAATGTCAAATTAGAGGAGTAAAATATTTTTTTCTTGAGATTTGTAAAACAGGTTATATGGAAGTAGAAGGCATGAAAATATTTTCCTCATTTCTATTCTGTAAGCAACCTAGTACTAAAATTTTGGTCCCGAGGTTTACACAGCACTGGGCCTTTGTTCAGTCAAGTTTTAAGTAGAGTAAATTGAGCACTATCCACTTTCTACTCACAGCTACTAGAGATTATTCTAATTTTTTGTGTGGTTAATAACACATTATTTTACCCAGACGATATCTTCAAAAATATGCACTGGATCAATGTCCTAGTAAATAGAACCTGGCTTTTTAAAAGCTTTACAGGATTTATTTCATATTAAAGGCATTGGGCCTCTGCAAGTATAGATAGAGTACAATTATATCAATGCTCAGAAGAAAGAGAGGTTGTATCCAGCTAGGGTTGGTAAAAAAAAATTGTCCAATGAAGTGCAATTAGAATAGTCATCAAAGCACTTAAGGAAAAAAAGGGTAGGTAAGGAAAGTATAGAAGGTAAAGTGATGTCATTAACAGAGACAGGCACACATAATATGATTTAAAGGAACAAGGCAATTGCAGCCTGGCTGAAGCAGTTTGCTTATGCAGGGTAGGGTGATTACACACAAAAGTGAGCAGGTAGGTTAGGTATATAGCTTTAGAATTTAAACATCTTAGATAACTTACCATATTACTAGGAAAGCACAAGAAGTTTAAGCAGAGGAATAAAAAGGAAAAGACACCAGGTATGGAAAAGCTGAGTTAGGAGACCCTGTGAGTTATGCCTTCTAAAGAGGACCAGCAGACAGTGACAGGAAAGAATGATATAAGGGATACAAGGAGCCTTGAGACATACATTGACTAGGTCACAGGGAAGAAAGTGAAGCAAAACTATCATGGGCTTCATACCTCAGAACATATGTTCTTGTCATTAACAGAAAATAGGAAATTAGGAACATGATGGAGGAAATAGGATTAACTCATTTTTTTTTAACAGAGGAGGTCATGAGCTCAAGAGAGAGGTCAGGGCTGCGAGGTAGATTTGGGAGTTCCCATTATAAAGGAAGAGATAGTCAAGTATCTTATTACAGCGAGATTAAGGAGATGCAGTCCAGTAAAAGACCTTAGGATTTAGCAATCAGGAGATCATTTACTACTTTGAAAATGAAAACCGGGTTGCCACAGCTTAAAGTTGAGTCACCCAGTCTTGGGGCTCAGATGTACAATTGGTCACAAAGGTAGTATTGGAGAGATTTCAAAAAGCCTAACAAAAGTCTTACATAGAGCTAAACAAACAAAAGTGTGTGTTTCTTTTTGCCTCAAATCATACCACTCCATTGTTGGTTTTTTTGCAGACTAGAAGTTCTGGTGTGCGTTAAAGATGGATTTGATTAATTTAAAATGGGAAAGTACATTATTCCTTATTTTTAACCTCTTCAACCTTATGAAAGCATTCATTTCAGTGTTCCTGGGAACACACTTTGACAAATGTGTGAGATAATGTTGTGAGGTTGCCTAGTAGCAGGCTCTGTGATAGGCAAAATCAGGCTTTTAGTTGCGAGACGTCCAAATAAGTGGAACACTAATAGGTTACAGAGTGTTTCCATGTACATTGCCTTGGCTGGTCTTCTCACCACTCATTATAACAACTCCCAACTACCTCTAATTCAGAAAATAATTAGGCAGTCTCCTTTTAAATTTGCGTAGTCCTAGCCATTAAGAGTTACTTTAGGATTGATTTGGAAGAATTTGGCACTTTCTTTTCTTCAGCTTCTATTAAGAAAATGTAAATCTTGCTTTTTAAAAAAAAAAAAATCCATTAATAAAATCACCTTAGAAAGTGTTTGTGCCATGTCTATGGGTTTTTTTATGTGATTGTGTCACATCTGTGACAGTTTAATTCAGTTACCCAAAGAGTAATGATGCAAACATGCATAATAAATATTTGAGGCTTGAAGTGGATTTTGACACAGAATATTTCTGACTCTTATATTTCATTATGTACATTTCAATGAATTGATTATTGTAATCTGAGTATCATTAACTAAAATATGAAAAGCTCATTGCTAAAAACACCTGGAGTATTTGTCAGTGTGTCAGTGTCTTGTGCCGCTTGAGAGCTTAGAACCTAGACTCCTATCTGTGAATTGTGCATGTAGTTCATGTTTTTTAAGGGTATTGATGTGTGTTTAGAAAATTCTCTTGAAGTAAACAAAAATCATCAGCAACATTAACCTGCAAGGTTAATTGAACACTTATTTAAGGGGGTCATTCTCTTTGCACTCTGTACTAGAAAGTAGCTAGAAATTTAAAAAACATTTTAAAAGATAAGAGGCAGAAAAACAGACACCAACAGAGAAGTAGGGAGGAAGAGTTTCACACACACACACAAAAACATCACATTTTAAACAGCATTTGTTAATCATCTGAGCTAATTGGATGTGCTGAAACATAACACTGATCAGTATCCTCTGCTGAGTAGTTTGGGTGGAGCCATAAGAGTTGTCTACCCTGTTTGAGATGGAACGAGTGCCACCCGTGGAATTGTTTCCCACGTTGACATTGAACTCCATTTGCCAAACCTGTTTTCCTGTTGGTTTTGGCATGACTTCAAGGGTCTCCATTCCCCAGCAGCTGCCACCTTTGAGAGTCCTAGCAAAACTCAACGAGGCAGAGATCAGTCTGCTCTGAACACTGAGGAGATTTTGGCATCTTCACATTAAAGGGAACCAGCCAAGTTGTGCTCTAACCTAACTATTAAGAAAGTCCCTTCAAAGATATAAATGTTTTGTAGCTGAGCTCCTGCTTAAGAAGTTTCCCCCATGTCCTCCCCTCCTCTGTCCCAGGACTGGCCATAGGACATTAGCAACAGAGAGCCCACAGAAGAAAACTTTGACTCTGACTTTCCCCCTAAATCTCCCAGACTCTCAGAGGTGATGTTCTGCAGTGGGCTTTGGAGATATGGGAGAAGTGGGCTGGGTTCCTGTTAGAAGGCACTGCAACCCCAAGGCAAGAAAGGAGTGGAGGACAGAGCCTAGGCACTTGAAGCCAAGAATTTGGAGCCAGAGAAGGAACAAAACAAAAGTCATGTTGGTCCCTACTTTGAATGCAGAGGATGATCTGATAGTGTTTATTCTCCCTTGTTCATTCCCATGCATTCGAAGCTAAAACTCTTTGTGAGGAGTGTTGAGCCTGTGTTCTACACAGGACCTCCTCTGCTTAACTGAGAGTTCCTCAGTGTAGTTATGTCTCCTATGTCGTGTAAGAAGGCATCCATTATTTCTTTTACAATTAGGGATTTAGGCAAAGCTCTTAGATTCAGAGATGCATTGACTTTTGAATTGTGACTTTAAAAATAATAATAATTGATCTTTTTCACAAATGTGTATATCCCAGATGATGCCAAAGATCCCAAATCACTAAGGGCATCCAGTTCGTTGGCGGTACAAGGAGGAAAAATTAAGCGGAAGTTTGTGGATCTGGGGTAAGCACTTCATGATGTAAAAAGAAAGCTATCTGTAAAAGGAAAATTAAAAGAGAAAATTTCAGGCTCCCCTTCTGACTGTGTACTGTCATTATAGGACGCCTTTGCGAAGGAATTCAAACAAGGGAAAGAAATGGAAAGAAAAAGAAAAAGAAGCCAGTAGGTTTTCTGCTGGTAACAGGTATGGGTGTGTGATTAATAACACATTTATTTCTATATTTAAACTTTCTGGCCCCTCTAACGTTGTTAACCAAAATCAGTGGTCAGTATCTTTGAGCTGAAGTGATATGCTGAGAATTGAGATGAAAGAAAAATTGCGCTATCAGTTTATATAGGTCTTACTCCAATTATAACTCCACCTAACCTTGGGCATATCCATTGGTTCTTAATTGCAGAATTATGGCCACATGTACTGTTTCTATAACTGTTTATCTAAATATAGCATAAATATATCTACATGATACTTCAGACATAAAAAATATATTTATGTGATACTTCAGATTTTTTTGCCTGGGTTAAGTCTAAAAGAATAATCATTTTGCAATTTAGTACGTTGTTGACATTCAAGATTGTCTTGTCCACATGTAAGAGTGACCACCATCTTTTGCTGGACTTGGCTATTTAATTGATTTTGTGGGCACTATCGACTATGCTTACTCTTCAATAAAGACTTTCCCATAGAGAGTGAGCTTTGAACAGCATGTTGTCAAATTTTTCCAGTTTTCTCCTGAGATGATATAATTTTAAGCTGAGGTTTGTATGGGTAGTCAGTAAAACATCAAGCTTTGCAGCCCAACTGCCTGGGTTTGAATCATGGCTTTCACACTTAGAACTTTTAAATCTTGTACAAATGAATTACTCTCTGTGCCTTCATTTCCTCATGTAAAATGAGAGTAATAATAGTACCTTTCACATAAGGTCAGTGTAAGGATTCAGTGAGCTTTCATGTAAAACATTTAAAATGATAACTCATCATGTAGGAGGTATTCAAGAATAATAAAGATAACAATTTACTGCTATTACTATTGCCTTACTATTTTTTGCAAGTTACAAAGTAGTTTTATATTTACCACTTCATTTGATCCTTATAAGTTTGGGAGGGTAGATAATAATACCATACTTTGTTGATGAAGAACTTCACCTTCATAGAATTTAATTGATTTGCCCAGGGTTATTCAGCAGGCAGTTAGTGTCAGTCTGGGGCTTGTGCCTTCTATATAGATGTCTTTCCAACATACTATGCCACCTTCAGTTACTTATGCATCTAATGAGGCTTAAATTTCTTTGTGAAATTTGGAAATAATCTCAATATCATAGACTAAGGAAGAAACAGACAAAATGCTAAAAATAAAAGACTATAAAATCATGTGGGGACCACTCTTCCACTTCATAGGTTGTCCACTGCTGTTTACTTTTCTTTTTTCTCTTTTCTGATGTATACCTTGGAGATAAATTTTACCTCTTCTTGACATTTAAGGAAGATTGGGTGGGAGATGAGGAGAGATAATTCCCAAATTACTTATTTTTATTAGTCTGGCTTTCCTTTATGCTGTACATTGGAAAAGAGTAGAATGCTGTCATATTGAGGACAACTGTCTCAGGAAAATAAAGGTAAACCTGAGACTATATGCAACTCAAAAGCAGTTTAACTTTGTGTGGTTTGGAAATGAGAATGGGCTACTTTGTGTGTTAAGTTTAAGACTAGAAAAAAGAAATAAGCATACTCAGGGAAAAAAACAAATGTTGAAACCATATGAGAGAGAGAGAGAGAGAGAGAGAGAGATGGATAAGTACACAATGGGAGAGAAACTCAGATATGTCAGAAATGACACTGTCCTTCCTTTGGTCTCTGGGCTTTGAAGACAGTCACTCCCACCTTTGAGGCACCACCTGAGAGGGATGTTAAGTACCTGCAGCCAGAAAGGGGGAGAGCGTTTGATGGAATTTTGCCGTGGTAGCCAGGGATGATCACCTCCTTGTATAAATTGCAGATGAAAGTCAAGCCAATCTTGATTGTGTTGGTGAGTGCTCACCTACCTCACTGTAGGCAAAACCACAGCTTGTCAAGGGCAGGTGGCCATCAGCACATTGCTTCATCACAGCTGATGCCCACTTAGAACCCACAGCTAGACTTCAAGATTGGCTGCCTAGCCACTGCTGTATTTTTAAAACTCTGGAGTACCCCTGCTTCAGCAGTCACAAATTATTGCACACATACAACACTACAAACTAGTTTCTAATTAGAATCATGATTTTGATCTTTTGTAGTTCATAAGCCTAATGATTGGGTGTTCACAGGCATGTGTGAGATATGCCTCCCTCAAACCTTGTTATGACATTGGCACAGCCAAAAAAAAAATAAAATCATAGTTTTATAATTATTTGTAATTATAGTAGAATTTGGCAGGATGGAAAGGAATTCATATAATTAAAATAGAAGAACAAGGGAAGAAGAAGGACATTTTTCTCTAGCAAAAAAATAATAATTTTTGAGCTTTCATAGTAATTGGTTAACACTAATGAAATCTAATGACAGCCTATATTATTCTGTATAGATTGATAATGAGCTCAGAACCTTATAAAACCTATTCTAGGAAGAACAGAATTGCTGCCCAGTAGGAGCTTAATGCAATTGAGTTGGATTTTCAGGGCTCTGAAAGTTAGTGGGTTGTAAGCACCATCAGCTGCAGGTTCACACTACAATTGTGGGGGCCAACCGGGAATATGCGCACCATCCCTGGGACTGGGAGGCTTCCTCAGAAAAAATAGAGAAGGATCCTTGGACTGAGTAATTTTATCTTTTTGAGGCATTTCATCCAATTCTTATTAGGCTATTAAAATTCTGATGAGATCATTGGTCAGCTATAACCTTTGGCTGTTAGATTTTAAACAGGCAAAATTTTCACTGTTTGGTCTTGCCTTTAGTTTTTTCCCGTCTATAAAGAGTTTACCCTGTTGTGTTCCTTACAGATACATGATGACTCAGATACATGCACAGCATAAGACAGCCAGAGAAAATGGATGAGGCTAATAACAGTAAATAAACTCAACAAAAAAATATTTGGTTCCATCCCTTTTCAAATAAGTGCTCAGTGCCATTGTCTTTTTTGGGGGCTTTTTTTTTTTTAGACAGTGTCTTACCCTGCTGCCCAGGCTGGAGTAAGTGGCACAATCACAGCTCATTGCAGCATTGACCCCCTGGATTCAAGTGATCCTCACAACTCAGCCTTCTGAGTAGCTGGGACTACAGGCATATGCCACTATGTCCATCCAGCTAATTTTTAAAAAGTTTTTGTAGAGATGGGGTCTTGCTATGTTGCTCAGGCTGGTGTTGAACTCCTGGGCTCAAGCAGTTCTCCTACCTCAGCTTCCCAGAGTGCTGGGATTATAGGCACAAGCCATCACACCCAGCCAACATTCCGATTTTAAACAGGCAGCATAGCAGATAACAAAAGCAGGAAACATTTAGCTGTCAGAGCTTGTTCACCCCGTAAAACATATACCAAAGGGTATAATAAAATCCTAACCTATATGCTAGAGTAAGTAGCCACTGATGTTAGTGGAACATCTACTTTGAGCTCTGTAGATATGTTTCCAGTAGAGTCACTGAATGGAAAACTCTGTGAGATGTGTGAATCTCAGATGGGGTTAGGTGATAATATGTCGAGAAAATGACAAGTGAAACAGATGGCGTGCCTCTTTGGAAATGAATTTGCATTCACCTGAAAGGTGTGAACAGCAGGAAGAACACTGAGCTGGAATCCAAGTAGTAGTCCTTACTTTTCCATGGGCAAGTCTCTGAATTCCTAGGACCTTGGTTTCCCACCAAAAAATAAGTGGTTTGGGCTAACACTGCATGGCTGTAACTCCCCATTCACCTCAGTGTACACTGTCCAATATGGTTGCCTCTAGTAAGATAAGGCTAGTCTATATTGAGATACGTGTAGGAGAATAATGAATGCTGGACTCAAAGACTTAGTATGAACAAAAAGAACATAAAATATCAGGAGACCGACACCAACCTGACCAATATGGTGAAAATCCATCTCTACTAAAAATACAAAAATTAGCTGGGCATGGTGGTGCACTCCTGTGGTCCCAACTGCACAGGAGGCTGAGGGAGGAAAATCACTTGAACCTGGGAGGCAGAAGTTGCAGTGAGCCAAGATTGCACTCTGGCCTGGGTGACAAAGCAAGATTCTGTCTCAAAAAAAAAAATCTTATTAATAATTTAATAATATTGATTACATGTCAAAATATTTTGGGTTTGGAGGGTAAATAAAATGTATTGTTAAAATTACTTTGCCTCTTTTTTTCATGTGGCTACTAGAAAATTTTAGTTTACAATGTTTTCTTTTGGATAGTATTGATCTGTATGAGTCCATGAAAAATCTTTAATTTCTGCCCCATTATTCAATTGGCCTATTGAGTGAGCATATATGCATATATTGTTTATTTTCTTAATTATTTCCATTCTACTCGGTATTCCAAAATAATTTGTTTGCATGTAAAAGTACATATGTTATAGCAATATAATTTATTAAAATGTGAAGTGAATAGGGAAGAGTTAGATTAAAAAGTAAAATTATTACTTAAAATACAATATCTTCAGTAACATCTTCATAGTAAGTATCACAGTAACCTTCCAGTGAAAGATAAAAACACAATGTCAAAAGGGTTAAAAGCCTGGGTTGAAATCCCAACTCTGCCACTTATCTTCTTGGACAAGTTACCTAAACCCTCTGTATCTCAGTTTTCTCATCTATAAAATGGAGATGTAGACACACACACACACACACACACACACACACGCCCCCCTCTTCATGTTATTGGGAGGATTGAGATGGCCCATTTACATATATTTCAAATCCTTAAATAAAAATGGCTATTTTTTTCATTGTTTAGGTTTAAAGCAGGTTTGATGGGAGGGATACAAATTGATATTCTTCTTGTGTATTTTGCTGGCAGTTTTGTTCATCCAAGGATGATTTTTGTTATATCTTGCAGAATGAATGGGCTATATGGATTATACTTCAGGCAGTCCTTCATAGGCTATTTCTCTCAAAGAGGCTTTAGATAAATCATGGCATGACAGCAAGTCTGAAATTATATCCTATGACAAGTACCTGGAGGGTAGCTCTATCCTGTTGCTGAGTAAGAGCAAAACCCCTGCTTAAGAGTCATCTGAGCTGACTGGAAACACACATTGTAGGAGAACTGATAGAGATGAGCACATGTGTGTGAATGGAAAAACACCTCATCTCTGCCTAAGGCTAGCCCAGGGAATGCAGTCATTTTCATGGAGACCTTTGAAAAATATCAGCTTAGGCTTAGTAGATTAGACTTATTCCTTATAACTGTCTGGCCCCTTTTTAGCTGCATTTATCAATTTAGTATTTAGTTTTCTATTTAAGTACAGTATGTCAAATGCCTCAAGCCTGACAAACTTACATTCTTAACAAGCAAACAATTTTCATACTTAAAAAACCTCTTGAAAATCTATTAATATTTAACTGTAGTGACTCTAAACATCCCAATACAGTTATGAATGTGATTAGTATATCTTGTATGTTACAAAATCAAATTTAAAATGAGTTTAGATCATTAAAATGAGTTAACATTTAAAGATAGAATCAGTGTACACATTTCTCTTTCAGATTTATATTCATATAAATTTTCTCAAACACCTAAGCAATATATCTGTTATTCTTAAACTTAGCATTTATATTTTGATAGCATGGATTTTATTTACATGATCCTCTTCTATTTCATTTTAAACCTTTTCAGTATGGAGAGGACTCATTAAGGAATAGTTTCACCATCTCAAATGATTCAAAGTTGAACACTACAATGACCATATCAGATGGACTGTTACTTATTGATTAGAAACTTAGATCAGAACTCAGGATCTGGGAGCAGGATATATCTGGGTAGGGGCAGGGGTTGGCCCTGAGCTACAGAGGGACATGTTTCTCACAGCTGTTACGCGTTATGGTCTCCAGGTACCCTTTAGATGAGGCTAACTTTACAACCTCAGTCTCCTTGGTGGATGTTAGAACCTCATAAAATTATTTCATTTGATTTAGGTAAATACAAGTCTGCAACTCTTCCTCTGGTTGCAGCTAACTTTCTTCAATTAACTTCCTTTACTCCTGCCTTGAATTCTGTATTCCTTTTATACTTTATCTGTTCTGGCAGTTTCTGAACTCTTAATGATATTTTGAAGACATCCAATTAGATGCTGAATGCTTCACACACCTGTATTCAAAGTTAAAATAACAACAAAGATCACCTTGGAATGTTTAGCTGGCAATTTAATTTTGGGGTACCAGCCCCAGAATAAACTGGATTCAAGATATATTTAAATGAGTTCATTACTTGAAAGAGATATCACATAAACCATGTAAATGCCAGGAAACAGCTACCCCCAAAATGGCATCTTTGGATTATGAAAACTGAATTTAATGACTTGTGATTCTGTTTTTTCCAAAAATGATAGCAGCCACTAAATTAGAGCTTAAAAAGGTGAGGAAATATAGGATATATGCCTATTTTCATCCTTTGGAAAAATTATTTTCAGATTCATCAAGAGCTCATTTCTACCAATCTCGATTTTGGGGAGAAAGGAAGGTGAAAAAGAAAGAAAAGGAAGGAGGGAGGAAAAGAAGAAAGGAAGGAAGCAAATAAGAAGGGAAGGAAGGATTTTGTGTTGTTCCTAATGGATTTCTCCACCAAGTGGAATAGACTGTAAGAGTGGTCAGCACAGAATAACTGCTGCCAAATCCTTTCTGCTTCTATTGTGGGCCCAAGAGTTCAATTTATTCAGAAGGAAATTGACATTTATTTTAGAAAGCATGTCTGCTAAGCCAATAGGTCTGTAATTTTAAAGTAAAAATTTCCTTTTTTAAATGAATATTCTCTAGGTCCAAGAAATCAAAGCATACCACTCACTGTTCAGTTCTTTAAGAATACTAGCAAGTATCCAGGGGTTACATCCGTTCATGGAGTTTTAAAATCACAGATACACACAGAGAATTAAGACATACAGGATATAGCTTCAGCAGGGGCACAGCCAAGCCTCACGGGGAACTGAAAAATATTCTTTAAAATATCCCTGAATCTGGTAGGTTGCCACTGTAGAGACGTAGGTGTCTCCTCAGAATTGGCCTCTCATTACATTCTGCTTGACCCTTCCTCCTTCCTACTAACCTGATGTGCAAAGCTGGGGAAAGAAAGCCTGTGGGTATCACCAGAGGCCCAGCTTCCATGATCTCCTTTGCTGCATCATGTAAGAACTACATGGTCTCAGGACCCTCCTCAGTGCTGGATACAAAGGTCCATGTGGAATTATTAGTCTTGAATATTTTTCTGACAGTGAAAATGTTGTGAATGAGTTTAATTAGATGTGACCTTCAGATTTTTGTTTTCAAATGTTACTTGGACAGGATTTGGAATACTGAAAGTTCTTTTCAAATAAAGCAATAGAATGACTATAAGTAGAAAACAATTCTTATTTTCTCCCTATTTTTTTAAAAAAAGGTACTAGTGATTGTTCTAAAAGCATTGTTACAAAGGCTATTCACTGGGAGTAGGACAAGATTGTCATGCTGTCATTAATCATGGCCTATTTCTAAACTTTAAAACATTCATATATTTAAGCACTACTATACTTTATTACAATTGTGAATAAAACTTTTTTAAAAATTCCTTTGATTCAGTAATCTATAACCAGAAAGGATAATGATAATCAGGGCTACTTTTTCCTCAGAGATGTCCAGTTATAAGAGTGTGGGACTGCAGAGAAAATATTTTTATGTTTCTGCATAGCTAGAATTTTCTAGGCATTTTTACTAGAATGTAGAACCTAAGCTAAAAAACAAACCTCAGAAATTAAATTAAGAAGCTAAGAGTGGTGGTTCACACCTCTTATCACAGCACTTTGGGAGTCCAAGGCAGGAGTTCAAGAGCAGCCTGGGAAACATAGTGAAACCCCTATGTGTACAAAAAAATAAAAAAGTTAGGCACAGTGGCACATGCCTATAGTCCTAGCTACTCTGGAAGTGGAGGTGTGATGATTGCTTGAGTCTAGGAGGTCGAGGCTACAGGGAGCCATAATTGCGCAACTACACTCCAGCCTGGGCAACAGAGCAAAACCCTATCTCAAACAAACAAACAAACAAAAACAGAAGTTGAATTGTGAGTGCATAGTGAGAACTCCAGAGAGATTTACCTCTGCAGAGGTAACGTGCTTAGATTTTAAGGAGGCTAACTGGAAGAGGGGGACGAAACCAGCTCCATGGAGACATTCCCAGAGTTGTAAATCAGGAGCCACTAGTCATATCTTTCCTTAGAGACACATGTTTACGTCCCAGAGGGTCAGTGCCCAAGATCCTTCTCAAGTTGAATTCCCTCCACCCTCCCCAGAGGCTGCAGAGGGGATAGCTGTCTCTCTCCAAATTTGTATTTTTGGAGTATATTTTGGAGTTTTGGTCACCTAGAGTGTAGACCATGTATACAATGACCTCTGGTTCACTCGGCATGCTGATCTCAATATTTTATCAGAATCTCACTGACTTCTTCATTCTCTTTATCAGTCTTATAATCCCTTTACATTTTTATCTTGCTTTACAGTCTACAAGATGCTTTTTACATTTATTGTCCCATTTGATTCTCACAATAATATTTGGAAATGGAATTGTTAGGTGTTACATTATTTCTGTAAACTGGAAATATATTTCAAAATTTATTTGAAATGAGATGTAAGAAGACTGAAACTCAGTATTCATGTGATGGGACAGAAGTTGTCTGGCTATGGTATTCAGGTACTTTTAATTAAAAGGGAATCTTTATGTTGTCCCTGATATCAGCAGCTATCAAATAATGGGCATTCCATCAAATAGCAAGGCTGAACTCTTCCAAGATGTACATAAACCACTGCCCTTTCCTACTTTGGTTTCTAGTAATTATTTTTTTCTCTTAACCAAAAGATAATTACAAATATGAAAGAGTTTACATTAAGACAAAAAAAAATCTGTTTTCAGACTGTTCCTCAAATGCCTTTGAATCCTTTAAATGTTAAATAATAAACAGACTTTTGACAGTTTTTGAAGCACTTTCACACATATTATCTCATTTAAACAAACACATATGAGATACATAAAAATATCGACCTTTTACAGATGGAGAACTAAAGGCCAAGAGAAGGCCTGAGGCCATGTACTCGGGGTGATAAACTCTCCAAGTGGGAGATCAGGACTTCAGATCTCCTGCCCCTCCTGTGAAAAGGCACTACGATTCTGGTGAAAACCCAATAAACTATGTGTTTTACCTAAAGTATTATGAACCCTGAAATTTCAAAATTATTTAAATATATTATTTTCTTAAGTCTCAGGCCCTTGGGAACACAAGTCCAGAGGAAGACAGGAAAGAATGCTGGTTATGAGCTAATGTCACTAGCAGTGAGGCATGTCACCCAGATAAAGGGAGTGCTGTGATGATTAAGCTAATAGCAGTTCGTAAAAGACTGTGCTCCTCCCTGATTGTAATTCATCCACATACACTTATTGGGCACATTTTTTAAAAATTTACCATGGCAAGAGCAATACAAAACTGTTGATCATTGTCAACAGAATCAATTTAGAGACAAAAAGATCACTGTTAAAATTAGTGTTATAGTCAAAAGTGAAAATTTTTATTCTGTTGAGTAGAACAATTCTCAAATCATTACTTCAAACTTTATTCAGAGTCCTCTGGTTGAATAAGTCTTTTATCTGTACTTTATCTAACACACCCATTCTTCTCACAAAACAGGGTCTTCAGAGGCAGACTGGAAAACTGGACACCCAAGCCACGTTCAGCAGCTCAGACCTCCACTCGTTCCCCTTGCATGCCTTTCTCATGGTTTAATGACAGCCGGAAAGGATCCTATTCCTTCAGGAACCTGCCTGCACCTGCAAGTTCCCTTCAGCCTTCTCCTGAGACTCTAATTTCAGATAAAAAGGGGTCCAAGGTAGAAAACACATGGATTACAAAAGCAAACAAGAGAAACCCAAATCCCTCCTCTTCTTCAATCTTTGGAAGGCATTCTCAACTTATGTCTGTAGTCTGGATCCAAGAAACCAATGTAATAACACTGCAATAAACAATGCATGGTATTTCTTATGTAGGAAAAAATAGCCTCATTTAACCATCACCTTCTTTAATACTGTTTCATTCTAGATTGTACATTACTCTTTGATTTGCCTGTCTTTTCATATATTGCTATTTAATCTCAGTTTGACAGTTAAGCCATGCTGGGAAAGATGCATTTGAATCATAGAACAGAGTAATAGATTTGTTTACCCAGTATTCTACTTTAAATTACATTACTAAGCTATTTCATCGTGCTTCTCGAAATTTACTGAAAAGCAAATAAATTTGGGACTGAATATGTGTTCAGTACATCTAAGTGAAACTCTAAAACAAACCAATGCTGACATAGCACCCTTATTTCTTCTTTTAGTATCCAACTTCTATGTTGAATAACTGCTGTATAATCCCATCACCAAAGTTCTTTAACCTAATTAGGAAATATATGCATGGGTGTCACTTGTTTTAAATGCATGATGGTTATTTCCAGCATGACACTGCAAATCTTATCTAACATTTTATTGAAATACATATGGTGGCTAACTTTCACATGTTGTTTGGTCTCCTTTTATCTGTGTTCACTTTTCTTTCTCAAACAGAAACGTGGTTAATGTTACTTGAATTTAATTCTTTTCAGTTTCAATTAAATCTTTTCAACAGCTCAAAGGGTTTTGACTGGGATACCAAATGGTAATGTTCATGTTAAATGTCCTGCTGCTTAAATGTTCTGCTGGCCTACCTCTGTGTGCTCTAACTTAGACTTCTTTTCCGAAGTTTTAGCAAACTTTGGAGTTTGTTTGGTACTGAAGTCTCCAGCTTCAGGCCTGGTATTTATTTTTGATAACCAACTAAACCCAGTATAAGGGAACCTAGTGGAAAACTAACAGTCCAATTCCTAAGGAAATGAAATAGAAACAAGATGGTGTTGGTCAAGTGCTTAGAGTTCCTGGGAATCCAGCCATTTTAGAATTACTAGCAAAAGAAGTTTTGACAGTAGCACATCACTTTGGTCTTGAAACATTTTCAATATTGGATCTGAGACATCTAAATGCTATTTGAAGAATTCTGCCATTATCTTGCGCTGTAGAAACTCCAGATTTGGTTAAAAATGTTTTTTACAAGTACAGCTATATAGTCATTGTTAAGTTGTTTGATTTTTATATCCACCAAACATTTTAATGAAGTTCTAGGGAAGTTTTATTTACACACTCCCACCTTCCCCTCCCCCAGGTGATTATTTAGTAACCTGTGTCTGTGCTGTGTGGCAGCCTCTTTGATACTCTGCTGGTGCTGTGAGAGAGTTGTATTTCAGCATGTAACTACTAGTGTATTGTCAGACTCTGACCTCCCCCAGAACTCATCATCTTGAAGGGTACATCCAGGAGAGGATCTGCCATTTCTCATAGTATTTTTCACGGCCAACAGCAAGCGATCCTTCCCAGGGGGTGCTCTAGCTACCTTTCTAATATGAATTGCCATCTGTTCCTAATAACTCAGCCTCTCCACACCATCTTGTATTTTTACTTACACTGTTACTCATCACGATTAGGGTCAAAAAAGATAGGCTTATTAATATTACTCTTCTGAGCAGTTGCAGAGGATAATGAATTCTGTACCCTTGAAGAGAGATTGAAGAGTTATTTCTCTACAACACCTATCCTTTCATCACATGGAGAAAGCACCAGAATTCCTGACTTCCCTCAAACGCACAAGGTGCAGCATTCTCAACCGCTGCCCCATTGAAGGTCATCACCAAATCAAACATGAGTTTCTGCTAAGATTGTTTTAAAGAGCCTTTTTAGAGCTTGCAAACACACCTACCTACTTCTTGCTCACTCACGGCACTCATTTAACACTGAGCTTCATTTATTTTTACAGAATTTTACCTTCAATGATGACTTCAGTCCCAGCAGTACCAGTTCGGCAGACCTCAGCGGCTTAGGAGCAGAACCTAAAACACCGGGGATCTCTCAGTCCTTAGCACTGTCATCAGATGAGGTACTTTAATGGCACTGTGACAGAACTGCTTTGTCAAATCTGACATTTTACCCATGAACCATCACCAGGAAAATGTTTTTAGGGTAGATCTTGCATAGAAATCATCAGGACCGTGGTTTATATTTAATATGAAGTCTTCATGATTTCTCTCCCTGTCTTTCTCAACACAAAAGCAAAGTCTCATTCTTAAGCTTTCCAGGGGGTTAAGCTTTTATGTGTATATGTAAATACACATGATGAGGAGGCTGGGAACTGTAGGGTAAACATGGAACTTCAGAAATCACATAGAAGTTCACAAATTACTCATTCTTTTTTTTTCTTGCATCCTCCCACAACCACCCTCACCCAAAGATTCTGATACTGCCTCTGATTAGACTGTTCTGATTAGGGTGAGGTCTCTGAGAATCATTGCAGTAGACATGGACAGTTTTGATAAAGAAGGAAAATAGGCTGAGAACCATTTATTTAAAAGCACAGGTCAAAATTAGTATTGCTACAAATTATCGGGAGATAAACGTGTACAAGAGAGTCAGGAAATGAGGTTAGTGATTAACTTAGTTCCTCAAAAAATGGGGGAGGACAGAAGGCATTATGAATAAATATATTTTTGCTCTAAGTATTTGTTCTTACTATTTCTTTCTAACATGATTTTTGATTCATAAAACTTTTTTTTTCTCATAAGCTTTTCTGCCCGTATTCTTCAAGCTTGGTGCAATTTTCATTTTATTAAAATTGTGTACTATATATGTTGTGTCTCCAGTTTCTGTAACATGTTTCTTCTTGATTCTTTTATCGCTCCCTCACTCAGAGCCTGGATATGATAGATGACGAGGTGAGCTATCAGTGGGCTGTGTGTGGTGGCTTATGTGCTATTGTTTGAACATGCTTTTTCTCTCTTTGGAGATGATTGAAAAATCAGACAATACAACAACACCTTCCTCTTTAGCGAAGGGTTACCTTGTGTTAAATAGTTTTACTCTCCGCCCTTATCATATCTTAGTTTAAAAGATGTTTTTAAGTTAAGAGGATCTCTGCATTGCACCTCCAGAGTTCCTTGATTTATCTCCCATCACCATTACATCAACATGGTCCATTCTTTTTCCTCTCCTTTGCCTTCATCTTGGCTTACCCTGTCCCTTCTGTGTTCCCTGTGTGGGTCACCAAGGTGACTCCTTTCCTCCAAGACATCATCACCTTCATCTACTCTCAGCTTAGTGGGTCTAGAAACCAACCTGTCCCTTTGTACTATTAAAAGGAATATTCTGCAGTGGGCAGAGCCAGAAATCTGGAATAAACTTGTAACCATTGAGCTCTGCCACTTACTGTGTGATCTTGGACAGAGCACATAGACTTCCTGAGCCCCAGTTTTGTCTTTTTTTTTTTTTTTTCTGAAACAAGTCTCACTCTGTTACCCAGGCTGGAGTGCAGTGGCACAATCTTGGTTCACTGCAACCTCCGCCTCCCAGATTCAAGCCTCAGCCTCCTGAATAACTGGGATTACAGGCATGCACCACCACACCCAGCTAATTTTTGTATTTTTAGCAGAGACAGGGTTTTGACATGTTGGCCAGGCTGGTCTCAAACTCCTGGCCTGAAGCGATCCACCCACCTCAGCCTCCCAAAGTGCTGGGATTACAGATGTGAGCCATCATGTCCAGCCGTTTCCTCATTTCTTAAAAGCAGTTAAGGATATTATCTGCCCTATCTTCCTCACATTTTGCTTGCTGCTCAAATGAAATGATGGTTGTGAAACTTTCCCTAAGAAGGCTTGAGAGCTTAATGCTCTCCTCTCCCAAGTGAAAGATACTTCAGTGTTTTTACAAAACTTGAATGTGTTATTAGAGGATAAGTGATGCATTACATGCAGATATTTATGAAATACTTATTTTCTACATCTTATAATCTGTCCAGACTGTTTTGATGTAAATGTTTGCAACATAGTATATTTTCTTCAATGTTAAACTTCCTACATTAATAATGGTGCTTTTTTATTTGGGGGAATTTCTAAACTTTCAAATACATAAAAACATATAGGGTAATAAGTATATTTTTAATACCACTAGAACCATTAGCTTATCACATTTTGGTTTAAACATAAACGTGGCTCTCATAGGTTAAGAAATTCCCTTTGATAGCATAATATGAGCCATAGTATCTTGGTCCTTTAACAACACTATGTAACATTCCTGTCTCAGATCCTTGATGATGGACAGTCTCCCAAACACAGTCAGTGTCAGAATCGTGCCGTTCAGGAGTGGAGTGTGCAGCAGGTTTCTCACTGGTTAATGAGCCTAAATTTGGAGCAGTATGTATCTGAATTCAGTGCCCAAAACATCACTGGAGAGCAGCTCCTGCAGTTGGATGGAAATAAACTTAAGGTAAAGAATTATACGTCTGTGTTAGGTTACCAGGTATAATTTGTATTACTCATAGCATCTAAAATGTTTTCATTAGATAAGAGCATTCTGCATATCTGAGAGGTAATTCTCATCAACATTCAGCAGAAAGGATGTTGAATTCTTTCTGAGTAGTAAATGAAGTTTCAGAAAGTCCATTAGGGGTTCTAAATCAAGTGGTAGGCTGCTGATTAAGAGAGTGAGGGACCCACTGCATTGCTTCCACCTGGTAACACATGGTCCATGTATTAACTCTCCTTACTTCTGATGCAGTATGAGTTTTAATAATGGCCACTGTGTACTTATTCATCACATTAGAATTAAGACCCAGATCCATGAATCTTCTTTTCCTTACTCATTTCTCCTTCACCTCCACTCTTCCGTACACACCACTCTCAAATGGGATGACGTTCTCCCCAGAAGTTTTTTCCCCAAATATGTACACACATCTTCCCTCCCCTCCGTGGCACTTTCATTTCCACTTGTCCAGTCCATCTCTCTTAGACACCAAGGTGGCATCCATCCCTTTGGGAAAGGGAAAAAGGAGCTTACAGCCTGCTCTACGCACCCCCAAGCCCTACCCCGGCTTCAGCCCCCTGCTAGGCTGACCGTCAGATGAGTATCTCTTGACAGTCTTGAAAAGGTTAGAGATCAATCAATAGCTTGTGAATATGAAGGCCCCATTGACAAGGCTGTCCCTGTTGGGGAGAGAGATAGATGCATCCCGCTGTTGATTCTGAAGGTCACAAAACATTTAAAGTACATAAGCAACTCCCCTTATTCTGAATTCTAAGTTCATCGAGCAACCTCCTCATTATAATCAAGCTTCCTTTATAAGTCTGCCTACAGGGAAAGAATGGCTAGTCATGCTGACATGAACATTCTGGCCCCAAAGACATTTTTGGTTCTCATTGTAATGAAAACATTGGCAGAAAGGAAGCCATTTCAATTCTGTTTGCCCTTCTTGGAGCCCTCTGTGACAGCAGGTGCTCACTCCTCCACTTTGAAAATATTGATGAGTTTAGCGATACCTTTACCTATAAATGTCTACAGCCCAAAGGTTGGAGAAGTAGAATTGTGCACTTTTTCCATTCATTCACTCGTGAATTACTAATTTGGATAGGCTTTAGGGTGTACTTTGCAAGGGCCATCAAAGAAGAAATAAAGTGTAGCCTCCAGTATGTAGATTTTTAGAAAATAATTGTAACTAGTCCTTCCTCTGTTCTTACCTCTTCTATGTTTGAATTAGTTTATAAGCGTGAACATATTGTATATTAACATCATCAGAGGGGTCACTGGTTTTCAAATTCAGTTTGTATGTGCATTTTCTTCCTAGGCTCTTGGAATGACAGCATCCCAGGACCGAGCAGTGGTCAAAAAGAAACTCAAGGAAATGAAGATGTCTCTAGAGAAGGCTCGAAAGGCCCAAGAGAAAATGGAAAAACAAAGGGAAAAGCTAAGGAGAAAGGAACAGGAGCAAATGCAGAGGAAGTCCAAAAAGACAGAAAAGATGACGTCAACTGCAGCCGAGGGTGCTGGTGAGCAGTAACACATACCCTCTTACAGATGATGGAGATGCTCCAAGAGAAGTACCCTGAAACTTAAATGATAGGGGTAATGCGGCTCTAAGACCCATGTGTTGAATAACTGCATTTTCTGCAGTAGAATGCATTCTTAATTTTAACTACTAAAATAATCCTAAGCCACTTTTGGTTTATTAACAAACCAGAGATCTCATTTAAGTAGCTGTGTTTTACTCTTCTCTAGCTTACCAACATCTCGTGTTGTGTTGGGTGTGTTTTGTCACTTGGAGAACTAGTGTGACCCCACCCAACAAGAGCATGACACACCTTGGTGTTGTTAATGGAGCACCGTGAATTTTGAGTATGGGATCCTGAAATGGCAATTGCACATGTCTGCATGGCAGAGAGCAGCCTGCCATGAGATCTCGGACCAGTACTTATTTCTAGGGCTGCAAAACCTACTCCAATGTGTGAGAAAAGTTCCTTCTTAGAAATTCTGAGTCTGGACAGTAAGACCACCCCACTATGGAAACATGGGTGCTCTGCTATGTAGTTACCTACTAAGGGAAAAGGCAAGCAAGCCATTCTGCTTGCTAGACATCAAAAAGAAAGAAAAGAATTATAGCTATTTGTCAACCACTGAAAAAAGCAAAAGCCTTAAGAATGTGGACTGGGTATTCTTGAGGTTCTGAGGGTAACATTTATCCTCCAGATATAGCTGAACAAGAAAGAAAAAATCAGACATGAATGCAGCCATGGGATATTGGGATCTGTTGACCTTGCTACTGCTGTGTGTTCAGTATTTCAGCAACACTGGCAAACACAGCACAGTTCCTCTTCCCCCACCCACCCCAAGAAATTGAACAGGAAATTGATTTCTAAGGAAACCACCATTTTCAGGTTTCGTCTCCTGGGGAACATTCTGGCTGGTCTTCAGCCTGCCTATGACACAATCAGGAACTGGTCACATATTTTCTACTCAAGATTTCCCAGGTGGGCTCAGTTAGTGTTTTAACAAATGTACTTTTAAGAAAAATAGAAATACCAGTTAGAAGAAATTTAAATTTGAGTAACATTCAACCAGAGAACCAATTTTTTTGAGTACAAAGAATGTTCCTGTAAAGAAGGAAAAATCTCTCTAAAATGCTGTCCATTAACATTTTGGATTTTGAATGGTTTTTCTGAGCCATTCCTTTCCATACCTCAAAGATTTCCAGTTCTACAGAAAAAGTTTAAGGCAGTGCATGAGATACACTTTAGTAGTGGAGAAACTTATACTAATTTTAAACCAGTATTAAGGATTTCAGTATTTCACCAAACTAAGTCAAGTGCAGACTGGGGCAGAAGAAGGAGAAAAACTCATTTTGAGAAATTTCATATGATGAGGGTTTATGGTTTTTTGTTTTTTATGCTCATGTATCTGGTTCTCTGCTGCATTGACTCTAAAAATGAGGTTATCCACTTTCTAAGGGGCAAGTTTCAGAATAAGACTTGAGGCCACATGAATTCTTGGACAAGTATTTTACTTCCTTTACTTTATGAGGATCTCTGCTTTGTTCCCAGCATCGTCATATCTTCCACTAGAAGCATTCTATATGCAGAAGTTGGGTAAGAGCTTTGAGCATAACAGATTAAGGGAACTCCCTTCTAGCCCCATCTTGTATTTTAATAACATTGTGATATTTTTTGTTGTTAAAAAAAATTTTTTTGACTTATTTGAAAATCTGAATTCAGGAATTATTTAGACATTTTTAATTCTGTTCTTCCCGCAAAGATTGTTTCCTTTCCATTGCCAGAGTATTGTCTGTTATGCTTCAGCTCTTTTTTTCATTAGGTACAGACCATTCATCCTCAGAAACGTTGACATAAAGTAATACTGTGTTTTACAGTTATCATAGTCATCATTATGTTTTTCCGTCTATCATCTTCATTTGGGGTATGATAATGAAACTGCCATACTGGATACTCTTTAATATCTTGAGATGTCTGTTACTTTGTTATTTACTAACATCATGAAAAATAAGCAGCCACTATTAATGAGTGGTAAAATTTGGCAAAACTTTTCTAATACTAAAACACTAAATTAGTAAAAAATCTGGTAATACTAGTACTTTCTATTATAAATTTTTGCCAATCTTTGGGGAAAGAAGTGACCTGGATCACACTGGAAGTTTCACTGTATTCAAGAGTAGAAATAGAAGGATGATTATCTTAAGTTATGTTTACACTCTGGTGATATTTGAAAATGGATGTATATACTGGAAATGTCTGTAAGTGTCTGTCTCTATGCCTAATTTATGATCTATTCTATTGCATTTTCTTAAATGTCTTAGAAGTATTCTTTATAATTTTGTACATTGAATGTGTAGATAAATGTCCAACTGACAATATTATAAATCAAATTCTTATTTCTTAAATCATTTAGTATTATAACTATTTTGATTTTTTAAGTTAAATTATAGTAATTTTAGGCCTAAATGAGTTATTTTAACATTACTACTTAGATGAAATTGTAAGTCACTTGGTTTGATTATCCCACAAAGCATAAGATGTAAACTGATTGATTGATATTATGGTACAAAAACAAAGTGAAAGGCCTCAGATCTTGTGTGTATTTTGTTTTCTATTTCTTTTATTGACTGTAGTGCATGATGCCTAATCGAGGCTCCAATGTCTTGCACAATCCTACTTTAATGCTAGTGGTTTTCAGTGTCTTTATGACTTAACACAGAATTGTTACTTCATCAACCTTAACAACTTTGCAGTTTTTTATTATAAGAAAATGAACAGAAAGGGAATGTCTGGTTGCTATGAAATAGGAAAGGAGAGCTCAGTATGACTCTAACAATAGCCAAAAGTGTTTTGGGGTCTGGGTGATACTTTGTTGGGAAGGAATGTGTGGTGAGACCAAGCTGCAGACAGAAAGCATTGTATGAGCTGTATCTGGGTCAGGGTTTTCCATCAAAAGATGTTAGTTTTGCAACAGATTACTTTAAGACCATCTCCCTTCAAGTAACTCACAGTTTATGTAATACTTAGCTCATTCTTTTTTTTTTTTCTTTTTGCCTGAATCAGAAATTACTGCAGAGTGTTAAGTTAGGGAAGAAACCTCATTTCATCCATTCTAACATTCCTGATGAAGTGCCCCTTTAGTTTCATGACAATAAAGCTGTTCTGTGGCTGTCATCCTTTAGCTGGGATTGACATTGATTTCACACCCTCAGCATCACACAAGCTTTTTTAACCCACAGCAGTTCATGATTGCAGTATGATAGGTGCTAAAGCCAAACTCAGCTTTCAACCGGCACAAAATGGGACTGGCTACCTTTTGCTTGTTTGTCATTGGAAACAAAGTGGCAAAAGGGAAAATGAGGAACCAAATTTACCTTTGCCACTATCTGTGACCCTATAATCATCTCTAGCCTGAAATCTTAAAATATCTTAGGCCCAGGCTACAAAAATGGTCACAGGTAGTTTGATCTAGCACCTAAGCCATTTGTGCTGAAGACACAATTCTGGGTTCATTGTGCACCAGAATTAACATGTGCTTGAAAATTGCATTTGATGAAAGGGAAATGAAATTCTGTATTTATATACATACTCTGATTCATGTTTAAGTGTTAAAGGTTATGCACACTAAACTTCAAGATGAAATCCAGTGTTTAACAATAGTGTTCAAGAGGATGCTAAAGGAAGTGTCCCAGCAAACCTAAGAGAACCATCTATACTTTAGATAGGTTGTAGCCCCATCATTACACTGAGATATTTCCATTTGAGTAACTAAAGATACTCCTGACAGAGCTGAAGATGAGGGTCACTTTGGTGGACAGTAGTCACTAGGGTTCATGTCACCTGCTTAACGCAAAGACCTTAGTGGTCTCAGAATGAAAAGGTAAAATGGAAAAGTGCAGTCCTTTTCTATCTTTTCAAATTTGCTTTTAATCAAGGATCTGCCTGTGCACTATTCTAAAGCTAAGAATTTAAGGATAAAGTCCAGAAATAAAATGTCCATATTTCTTTTTGTTTTTATTTTCTGTCATCTGTCACCCAGACTGGACTGCAGTGGTGCCATCATATCTCACTGCAGCCTCAAACTGCTGGGTTCAAGTGAGCCTCCTACTTCAGCTTCCCAAGTATCTGGGACTACAGGCATGTACCACCACCCCCAGCCAAAACATCTATGTTTTCTTATTTTCTTTTTTTGAGATGGAATCTTGCTCTGTCGCCAGGCTAGAGTTCAGTGGTGTGATCTTGGCTTACTGCAACTTCCGCCTCCCAGGTTCAAATGATTCTCCTGCCTCAGCCTCCTGAGTAGCTGGGACTACAGGTATGTGCCACCACACCAGTTAATTTTTTGCATTTTTAGTAGAGATGGAGTTTCACCATGTTAGCCAGGATGGTTTTGATCTCCTGACCTCGTGATCCATCCTCCTCAGCCTCCCAAAGTGCTGGGATTACAGGTATGAACCACCAAATATCCATATTTGCTATTAAAATGGCTTACATTAGGATGGGGGATGGGAAGCTGGGGGAGGACTGTACATTCCCAAAAGAAAGCAGTGTTATAGGAACTCCAAATGTGCTTCAGTGTTTCACTCCTCAAAGCAGCCTGAGTATGTTGGCAGATTTTGTTTGCATTTGTCTTGTGTATTTAAAGTCTCAGGAAATCTAGTCTTGGTCCAAAACACTGGGCAAAAAATAACACCAGACAAAACACATTTGAGTAACTTGAAGTAGCAGCATAGAATAGGCCCCACTAAGGAGCTGGAGGGGCAAAGAAAAAGCCAACAGAATCAGTTTCTCTTGGAAACTGAAAGCGTCAAGTTCTATTTATGGTAGACAGAGGGTTTGTGTTTGCTTGTGCGTGGTGTCTGTGTGAGCCTATTGAGGGAATGGTAGTTACTTGAAGGTTCACATATGTAAGCATGTGGAGCCAGCACAGCCTGTGACCTGATTCCAGATCCTCAGAGTGGAGAAGGAAAGAAATATGATGATATCCAATGCCTGACCCTAACCCAACCCCAAAACTGCTAGGGATTCAACAACAGGTAAGATGTAAGGGATAAGAGAAC